AAAAAAAAAAAATATGTATATATATAAATAACCGATGAAACATTGTGCATCAGCTATCGAGGCGACAGATCACGAACTGAGAGCTACAACAAACATCATTCAGCAGTTCATGTAACAACACTGAACACATTCTTTTTCTTTTTGGCCTCGTCTCAACAATTACTGACTTTACCAAAAAATTGTATGAATAGATGAATAAATGAAAGATGACAGAAAAGTTCAAAACACCGAATCGACATTAATTGCTATACGAAAACTTAAAACACGTCCTCTAAGTAAGGGCAAAACTTTCAAATAAGAAAAAAAAACACCTAGTACATGGTAGACTCTTAAGCGTTATGCTTTGAAGCAGTAGTTTAATTAAACTTGCTTTCTGTAACTTATGCATAAAACACAACTTTAGAAGGCCATAAAACTCACGAGATCGGACTAAAAAATCAGTAGAAACAAGCTACAGCTATGTGCATCTTCAAGTATCATCTGCTTGAACAGTTGTGTCATTTGTAGACATGAAAAATGACAGAAAAGTTCAAAACACTTCATTCAACGTACAGATGCAGAAACTAATCCAATTGAAAACAGCATTATTTAAAAAAAAAAAAGCTAACAATTTGTGTTTTTTTTTCAAGAAAGAAAAAAACGAGTATTTATTGTTGCAACTGCTAAAGTCTTAAGTATAATGTCGGTAAAACTAGGACAGTTCAATTGTTTTGCTGAATCTTTTTTGATCATTTGATGCTGTTTTTGAGCGCCTATACACTTCTTAAAAAGCATAACGCTACAGAGTTAAAACAGAATTGCAGTATAATTAAGTTGTTATACTGATAACAGAAAACAAAACAAGAAAAAAAAACAACATTAATGTTAGAGCACCTGTTCCGTAAATAAACTATCATTATTGTTATTATTATTAATAATTAGTATTAGCTGCATATACATATATAAAAGAAGAGACTTCAAACACGTTTATTTTTACGGTATAAACAACTGCTGTCTTGTAAAATCTTTTCAGTAACTGCTTTTGATTTTCAATGAAGTAGTACTATGGGGGGAGGGAGGGGGAAGAAGGGGAAAATAAAACCTGATTTAAGTTGAGGAAGAACAATACCAATACTCACAACAAATCCAATTATCATTGGAAACCGATAACAAAACCCCAAACAAATTTTTTAAGTTCAACATTAACTTTTCAAAACTTTCCCAACTTTTACTTTTACACATTATTACTTATGTTTGAAAAACCAAAAATTGGAAAACGTTCTTCTTCCTTTTACCTGTACAAATGATAATGCTCTGTTGTGAATAAGTATCGACAATAAAGAAGTATTAATCATGGTAATCTTAGTAAAAAAAGACATTAAAAAAAGCAATGAAACTTCAAAAGACCATAATATCAACGACGAAAAAATGCGTTTTGATTAACAGTTGTACGTTCCTGACGCCAATTACCCTTCAAAATCCGTAAATAAGTTCGTCTAAATCTTGCATTGCATAGTGCGTAACATAGCGGATTAATTGTTGAATTAATATAACACAGTGCGTAAGCAATATGAAAGTACACCTCTGGTATTGAACCTTTGTATAGCGCTTCCCAACAAACCACAACTAAAAATTTATATTACAGTTAGTCTTTGACGGTGTTTAGACACACACACACACAAAAAAAGATTTTTAGAATAAAATACCTGCTGTTTTACTGACGTATAATACTCTAAAATTTTTCAAATAATAATAAAATTTTTAAACACAAAACAAACCATTATATGGTGTCCAGGTTATAATAAAAGCCAACAAAATTGCTGATAACGTTTTAGCAGCTTTTCTTTCCTGTTTCCTTTCAATCTTCTTCTTTTCCTTTTCAGCTTTTCGTTGTTCATCTTTGCCCAATTGTCGAGAATTTCTGCTACAACAGGAAATAAATATATAATCACAGTCTATAATGTAACAGTAAAAGTGCAAAACAAACAAATCGTAAAATGAACAAATAGCTCGCTAGGAATACCTGTTATATTCCTAATAATAACTACCAGCTTTTCTTTTTCACTAAACGATTACGTAAATCAACAAGATTGATGTTTAGCAGAATTTATTTACCGATTTACTACTTTTCCATTCTGGGATGTTTCTGACAGCAAAGCCTTTCTGCCTTCGCTTTGCCTTCTTGGAGTATCGGAGCTCATCCGACTTCTCTGACTAAACCGTTCTAACATAGGCGAATCTCCAAATCTTAAAACCAATAAGTCAGTTAGTAAAGCGTAACAAGTTCTAAAAATGATTTCGAAAAACAAAAATCTTTTCTATTGTATTTTAACTATATAATTGAGAGTAAAGAACTGATTGCAAATTAACTATTTTGAATATATTTGGTCCGCTTTTCTGATGATTCATTAGACCGAAAACATACGCTGAACAAACATCAGAATCACACGACGATAACCGTACTGTTGGTCTTTCACCTTCATTATCCTTTATCTCGATCAGCACCGTATACGTCAAAGGTTTATCAATAACATCTGCTCTCAGAAAACCTCGATTTTCAATCACTGGTTCGTGGGTTGCATCACCGTCTTCCTAAACGACTGACAAATTTAATGTTCAAAATCTTAAATCAACAGAACAATCATCTTCATAATTAGATCTTCATAATAAGGTCACTACAATAAGACAGTGAGACAACTCACAGATAGAACAGTATAATATTTTTAGTCCTTCGGTGTTAGATATAACTTTACAGAAAAGCGTTATTCAGGTTACCTTATACTGTATATATACAGAAATACTGTTTCAACTTTTCGACATAATTAAGAATTTTTTTTTTGCCTCTCAAATCTAATTTACTGCATTTTCAGAACAGTAACAACCAATTCAAAATGTTGTACACTAAAAAGTATCGAAAAGCTGACATGATTTGAAAGAAGATAAAGGCTGTTAATAGGCGAATTTTTAGTTCTCCGGCTTAAGGAATTGGCCCTTGTCGCCACTACACTGCTCGTCAGTGATGCTTCGTCGGCATTTCCAGCTATAGCATCGCTACTGTCTTCCGAGGATACACTTTTGCCCATACAACTTCGAAAATACGATTTTTTCCATTCTACCCTAAAACTTAACAAGTTTTTATACCGAAAAGTTCTTTTTCAGCTGACCAAATGTTTAGCAAGCAAGTACGATATATCAAAATTCCACAATAAAGGTAATTTGCAGAAATACACGTTTGACCTCCCAAGGTTAACTAATCAAAATTGAGTTGTTTAGAAGAAAAGTATTAAAATACAAAAATTTTGAAGGCACATAAGTGAAAGAAGTATTTTTGAGCTACAACTAGCGTTCAAAATTTAAAAAAGTAACTATTTTTATAAGTTACAATAATTAGAACATTAACCTACCCAAATTTCCCACTGTTCCCCCTACACACTTTACGCTTGGCTACTGGGGCTGCCGAGTTTGAAGAAATTGTAGACTGTTCCTTTTTCTGCGTTGCCAAACCGTCCTATAAATAATCAGCTCATTGAGCGAAAAAAACGGATGCCACAACCTATTAATATCTGCTGATTAGGTGAGTAAAAACAAAAATGTATTCAGCATTAAATTGTTCTAAGAAGTTCGGCGACTGTCTTTTTTTAACAGTCTGAATTAAAGTACAAATTTTGGCAGTAACATTCACTTTATTAAAAGTATTTAATCGTCCGTATAGGTAGATGCAAATTGGTGACATAATATTCAAAATGTTTTTTTCTAATAAAACCAAAAGAGGCAATGCTCTATAATGATTGTAATCAAATCATACTAAAATCAAGTGTGTTCTTAATGAATTTCAAAAACCCTAAAATACTGGAGATATTTTAAGATAAAAATTCAACATAATTACCTGCGTAGCTTGAAGTTTTCTCATATCAGTTTGACGTTTCCTCGTTTCATAGTAAACACGAGAGTATAAAAAAATCATTATTGCAAGAGGTAAGTAGAATGCTGCAATTGCAGTACCTATAGATGCAAACTGATTTGTTTCCAAAAATTTTATAACACATTTACCGGTATCATATAGGCTTTTGCCGATTGGATTTTCACCTGAAATTAGTCTAAATAATCAGTACAACTTTTATTATTTTTCCAACCCTTGATTTTCTTTACTAAACTATAACAGAAAGCTATTACTCTTAGCTTAAATTTGTCCACTATTGCTCAGTACTCTGATGTTTATGCACTGTTAAACTGGTGTTCACCACTGCAACAATAAACCAAAAAATTACTTACACAAAGTTTTTCAAAGTTTCTTACATATAATTAGCTTCAAACAGTTCTTTGCTGACTTTTCAAAAAATTAGACAAGTAAAGAAGAAAGAAAAAAATATTGTTCGGTAAAAATAGTATATATTATAGCTAATAAAAAAATAATAACCAAGAATATTTTTTTACCACTAAGTTTTGATAGTTAAAGTTTTGGTAAACACTGTTATATATTCATTAAATTCAAACAAATACAAACCGCATGTATACTGGAAAAAAACATATAGCAGAAAAATGTCATTAAAAGGTTCAATTTTGTAGAATCAAAATTTTCTAGCACAATAAACCTCAAAGCTATTAGCGCAGCAATTAGACAACTAACAAGCTTATATAGATTTATAGAGAGTGATGTAAAAGCATAAAAAAGAAATTAATAGAAGCAAAAAAAAAAATTAAAATCTGCATCAATATTAATACTTCCTGCTTCTTTTCACTGCTGTTTCTGAATCGAATAATTTGGTTGATTATGCAGGCATGTTTTTCCTATGACATGATATCTAAAGTTTCTGCCTTTTATAAATTGCCACCCACAAAGACTTATCAGCGACATTATCCTCACTGATACTGAACGGTTTAAACAGGTAAATAACTTTATTCTGCTAATTGTCAAAGGTTTATTTTTACTCCAGTAGCTAGAAATCCAAAATTGCTGCTACCGTCTATAACATATGTATTAAACGGCGTTAAATTTCTGTTCAGTCTAACAAATTTAGAAGCTTAACCGTCACAAAGAGAAAAAAAAAACTTGAGCAACACAAAAATAACATATAATCTGAAGGTCTGAAATGCTATTTGTCATCAAATTATCGCCATTTGAAATCATGGAGAAGCAGCCTCAGCAAAGACGTTTTCCTCTTTTAACGTTTTCCTTATGCACAATCGGCTGCTATTTATACATATAAAAATTAGCATCTAAAACCTCTTCTAACTGGCTGGTTCATCTGAACCTACATCCTGTTTTCTTGTTCTATGCCACAGATGTCAACATACCAATCTTTATAGACGATTAAAATTCAAAATATGTGCTTTGCATTAAAACAATTATAAAATATATTCTCAAAAAAAAAAGAAGTTTAAAATACGCTTTATTGGGATTGAAAGTGGGAGAAAAAAGTTGCTGTAAATTAGTACTATCAACAAGTAATAAAAGCATCTTTCTAAAAATAGCAAAAAATATACAGTAACAAAAAAAAAAGGTTTTAGAAATTTTTAGTACCACTCAGACAGTTTTAGAATTTAAATGTTCAGTTTTTGTAATGCTTCTAACGGTTCTTCACTTCTTCTAACAGCTTTTAAAAATTGATAAAAATGTGACAGAAAAAAAAGACCAATAATCTAACGAATACTGATAAGAGAAAGAAATAAAAAGATAACTATTCAAAATAATAATGGGAAAATAAAAAGGCAATAAAAAAGTGGCAAAAAAAAGAACTACACGAATTATAACTGCTATAATATAGCCTTTGAAACTACCACTTTTTTCTTCTTACTAGAAGAGAATTATAAAAATGACACTACTTGATAATTTGTGGCGACTACAAGTGATTGAAAAAGAATCAAAACTAAACAATACCTTCAATATAAGGCCAACTGATAATCCACGGCGGCCATAATAGCAACGATATTATATAAGTTAACGATATAAACGTCAAAGCTTTTTTTGCCGTTCTCCTAAAAAAGGTTACTGCAGTGTTTTGAGTTAAATAAGTCTACGTATATCACTAAATCATTATATATATTCATAACGCCAGGTCATTTCTTGGCAGTTTTGACTAACGAGTATTCAAAAGTTTATTTCAAGAAATAAACAATTAAATTGCAAAAAAAAAAAAAATTACCGTGGACGATAGGTGAGAGGTCGTATAACAGAAAAATAACGATCAAACGAAATGAGAAGTAAATTTAACACAGATGCATTACACATAAGATAATCAAGGCATAGCCAAAACTGACACATGGTATACCCGAATTTCCAAATTACACCTGATGCCATATAGTAAGTCATCAGTGGAATCGAGAATATCCCTTAAATTTACCACAACAATAGCTTCGACAAGCAGTTTTCTGTCTACATTTATGGTTTAAATTCTAGTAGATTTAGCAAATTAATCAATCCTACAATTTCACCAAAAGAAAATTTAACCAGTTTTTTCTTTTTTCCCCATCAACTAAAAGATACTGAGAAAAAAAAGGAGAAAAATCGTTAGAAGGAAAAAAAGTTAACTGTAAAAGTAAAGTAAAATTTAGAAGGTGCTTTGTGAGATTGATGGCTCCAAGCGCGCTGATTGGATGCCTGCTTTCTAGGTGGGATGGTAGTGGAGGGTGGGACAGTAGAGGAGAAGACGGCAGAATAGGAGAGGACAGGGCGATAAAGAAAAAGGAGACCGATGTGAAGAAAAAAAAGAGGCTGAGAGAGAGGTCAAAAAGAGCGGCAGAAAGCGAGAGATAACTGCTATCAGATTCCTTACTTATATCTTTGATTTCTTAACCTGAAAAATTGTTGTGGCCTGGTAATCGCAACTTTTTCTTGCTACAATCATTTCCTCTAATCTAAACATTCTTCACTTTGGTAGTGGGCATTAAAGTCTTCTATATTTTGTTAAGATCCAAAAAATTAACCCCTTGCAATTTTCGGACAATTAGTGACTAGAATATTTTTTGTTTCATCAATTGAGAATATCTGATATGAACACAGTTTAGCAGTATATTTTTGATGATCAATTTCTAATCGGTCATAAAGCAGTTCAGATTTTGCGTAACCTGTTAAATGAGAGATGTTAGGAAACCTTCTTTGTAAGTCAGGGTAATATAGGTTGTCGGTAAATGCAAAATTCCAACTGTGTACAATAAATTAACATCAGTGTAATGAAAATCAAAACCGCCAAGCTCCATCTCAGGTACCATACACCACCGCAAACTCATATCACTTATTGTGGTTTTATTTCAAATACCACATAAATTCTACGTCCACCACAGCACTGAATTAGTTGGAATATGTAACCATTTTGTGTTCAACTACCAGCAAAGTCGTGTATTATACATTATTTATGGCTGTAATGTAACCTCAGTGTTAACA